GTCTCTCTCTCTCTCTCTCTCTCTCTCTCTCTCTCTCTCTCTCTCTCTCTCTCTCTCATCCAGAGATCTATTAAACTTTATTAAAGAAATCAATAGGAAATCTTACTAAAGGCAGTTTTTGCTTCTGCTATTAGAGTTCAGCAATTGAAAACACAAAGGTGAAAAAAACCTGACCTGAGAAGCTGCCAAATAGCATAGAATTTAGCAACAAGAGTTGACAGACAAAACACAGATAGAGCCAGAGACATAAAAGACCACAGTAACCAGCCCCCACCCTCACCCTAAGAAATGCGTAAAGCACAGGGGGCAGCCCGCTAAAGACTCTCATTTAACATACAAGGGGCACACACAGCTATACATACATACATACATACATACATACATACATACATACCTATTTGTGTATTTTCACTTTAGCATCACTGTACTACTGCCCCAGAATGCACATGTCCCCTGCTCTTCATTTCTGACTCTCCATGGTCCCCTTCTATGAGGTCCCACCCCACTTACTCATCACAGAAGGGCAAGAACTGATCGAATAGCTAAAAGAGTATAGACAGAGGTGCCCAGGCTAGGGCCACAGCCAACTAGAGAGCCGACTTGACTGTTTCAAGTTCCAGGTGGCCAACTCAGGGCAGGGACACCAGTTTTAATAAAAATAAGTTGAAAACAACTTGCTTTCTGTGCTCCCTACTCCTCCAGAACAGCTGTTTATCTTCTGTTTTTCTTTCCTTTGCTAAATAAACCATCTTTCTTTATTTTAAGCTCTGCCTCTTTATTTCATCACCGGGGCTGACTTCGCCCTCCAGGTAGAACCCGGAGAGCCGTGTGTTCCAGCGGGGCAGCGGCCTGGCATGGTGTGAACGCTACGTCCTCAGCATCTCTGGCTTGCTTCTTTGGAGACCTTCAAGTGCTGCAGTAGGAATATTGTTTCTTCTCTTCCCGGGGACTCTGTCCCCAAACTCCTTTGATTCACCTGCCTTTATCGTGTTACTTTTCTACTCTGGTATCTGATGGTACTGCATCACATTTTTGAAACTTGAAGCTCACTTTTTATTTTTAATTTCTTATCTTAGTTCTTGATTCAAATTACCATTTTATGTTTTCTTCTTTCCCTTCATTCTGATGCTTTCACTCCAATACAAGTATTTCCTGCTTCACTAAAAGGTTATATGAAAGATTTCTATTAAAATAATCTTACTTTTGGATCCGCCATCTGGGGTGGAACCGCCACCAAGATGCAGATTTTCGTGAAAACCCTTATGAGGAAGACCATCACCCTCCAGGTTGAACCCTCGGACACTGTAGAAAATGTAAAGGTCAAGATCCAGGATAAGGAGGGAATTCCCCCTGATCAGCAAAGGCTGATCTTTGCTGGTAAGCAACTGGAGGATGGACGTACCTTGTCTGATTACAACATTCAAAAGGAATGTACCCTTCATTCATCTTGTGCTGAGCTCTGTGGCGGTTCTAAGAAGAGGAAGAAGTCTCACTCCACTCCCAAGAAGAATAAGTGTAAAAGGAAGAAGGTTCAGTTGACTGTCCTAAAGGTGGATGAAAATGGCAAAATTAGCCCTCTTCGTTGAGAGCGCCCTTCGATGAATGTGATGCAGGAGTATTTATGGCCAACCACTGTGACAGGTATTACTGTGGCAAGTGTTGTCTGATTTCCTGCTTCTCCAAACCAGAAGACAAGGAATTATGAGTTAAAGAAAACTTCAGCTAAAAAAAATCTTACTTATTATTGGCATTTGACATATAGATGTATATATTTTTGCAAGGACAAGGTATTAAACTGCTTCTCTTTTGGTTAAACGTGCCCAGTGCTCTAAGCACTAGGTTCCCGGGAGAATATTGGGGAAAGCAATTTTAAACTGGGCCAGTATTTATGGAAACACCTGGGTTTTGTATGTGTTTTCCTGAAACTGTGGTACCTGAGTCAGTGCCATTGCAGTTAGCTGGAGGAGTTTTTTAGAAACTCAGGATCTGACTGAATGAAAAGACCTCCAGGGGATTGACATTCTCAATAACGCTGGAGAAATGCTAACTTCCAGGTCACATGGAAACCTGTGGTTAGAGTGCTGCCAGGGCGTAGCATTTCACCACTAACAATGTCTAATTTAGTGCGTTGGAGCACAGAACTGGGGGTGATCTTGGTGTCTTCAAAGTCAATGTTATACAGTATAAACTGCATCCTAAATAATGACAGATGGAGGGAAAAGAACTTGCTAAATGTTAGCAGGGTGTTTCAGCAGGTGTCATGAATATTCTATTTGTTCTTAATTAATAATTGTTATATTTATACGGGAATTGATACTGCCCTTTACACACTGCAATTGTGTAAGCAGTATAACATAAACAAGCAGTATATTTTCATAATCACTATTTGAATGTCTGACCAGTTGGGGAAGCTAGACATGTGTAACCAGTTCATTCTTCATCAAGTTCAGAGAATGGTATATAGACCTCTGCCCAGTATCTCCTCTGTGCGAGGCCTCCTGTGTATTGCGTAGTGCTACAGAAGGAAGCTGGTGGGAGTCCAAGACTCTCCGGGTGCTCGTGTGAGTCACCTCAGCTGGCTCATGTACCTGCACAGTCTTTCAATATCGAGAGGAATTTGAAGATGAAAAGATTGGAGTAATTCTTAGCCCACTGAATTATAGGCTAAAGATTTACTTTCCTGGTACAACATATCTTCAGCTCTAGGTTTTATTTTAGCTTAAATTTTGAGCACTCCATTCATGAGGAGGAGTTCTTTACATACAGTGCTTTGTAATTATGAAGCACAATGGGAGCACTTATTAGTGTTCTCATGACTGAAGGCACTTAGGCCATGACTCACAAAATTCGGGCTTCTTTCGCAACTAACTCGACCGATAGTTTTGGTTGACTGTAGAAATGGCTTGCTTTTTAAAAAGGGGGAAATTGTTTCCAATATGATCCTAACACCCAAAGATGCAGAGATATTGCCCCAAGGTTTTCTTGATATTAAACAAGAATGCTAATGCTTCCTAAAAGGAAACCTATGAACTTATTCACCAGTACTTTGATCCTGTACAGCTCGCAGCAAAGGGAAGATCTGTGGAGGCAGAGGCTACCACTCATTCTTGCAGCCACGATTGATGCTCTCTGCTCCTAATCACTGGTGCCACCCCACCCTGGCACAAGGGGAGATGCTGAAATCTCCTTTTTCAGGTCTAGTTAGGGCAGCAGCCCCTGGACCCCACTGTAGCCACTGACATGCACTTACCAGATATGTTCAGTGGGTAACATCAGAGAATACAACATTCCATGCCTCGCTTTCCATATGCACAGAACCATCCCCATATTACAGGAGTACAAAGGAAGGAGAGGATCATTTGGAAAGGTCTCTTGGTATCAGTCTTCCCCCACTGCTGCCACTCCTTTGTCTTTCCTTGGTATTTTCCCCTCTTTTCTCTTAAGAAGAGGTGGCTTTCAGATAATCGAAGAATCACTTCTTCACAGTCTTAAACTCACACTTACCTGACTCAAGGGAAGAGATAGAATAAAACAACATGAACTCTTGAAATAAAATGTGATGAAACCTTAGAGGGACTCCTGCTACTGCCATTCTCAGAGAGAAAGCTCAGTAGGCTACAGATACTTGAGAAGCAAACAAGCAACAGACCAAATGTCTTAACAAATCCAGAATAATCTGCAGAAAAATCCAGAATTTACATGCAGACATTTCATGATGCAAAGTGTTTCTCAGAATATGTATTATCTCGTGTGGGGTGCTGGTGATGAGGGTAGGTGATGTGGGGTGCATTTCCCCCCATTTATTTTCCCAATTTTTATTTGGGAATAATTGGGCCATTTTCTGTTGTGAACTAATGATGTATCTCTTGTATATTATGGCTTTAGTTTATATGAATATGCATCTATCCCTTGGTTTTCATTTGGAATTGGTTCCAGGGCCCCTGTAGACACCAAAATCTGTGGACTCTCATATTTTTTTTAAAGAAAATGAGGTAATGTTTTGATTTTTAAAAAATTGTATTCAGCGCTGGCCAGACAGCTCAGTGTATTAAAGTGCCTGTTTAGGCAGACACAGGGACTGGGATTCAATTCCCGGAGTATTGCTGGCCCCACCCCCTGGGGCACACTGAGACTGGGCATGGTGGTGCACACTTGTAATCCTAGAGCTTTGGAGGCTGAAAAACAGGAGGATCACTACGAGTCCGATCTGTGTAGTGAGACCCTGTACTAAATTAAAAAAAAATGTTTGGTACAGGGTCTCACTATGCAGCCTGTAGTCATCCTCGCCAGCAATGGGATTATAGACATGCACACCTGGCCGGTCTTGGTGGCAGGCACAGAGTGCCCAGGGGTAGGGCTGGCATGGCATGATGTGCCTGGGAGCGAACTCCGGTTCCTGTGCTTGCCTAAGAAGGTGCTTAGTCAGCTGAGCTATCTCACTGGCCGTATAATGAGGCAATGTTTGCACATTACCTACTCACATCCTCCTGTACACTTTAAATTAGTGGTGGTGAACCTACAGTGTGCCTGCCACCATGGATTGATTCTTACATCATTGAAAGCTCTCAAAGGTCTGTATCGCTGCTTTAAATAATCTCTGGGTTGCTTGTAAATGATTTGTAAATAGTTACTTGACTACTATTTAAAGAATAATAACAAGAAAAAAGTCTGTGAGTATCCAAGCCAGAGTTTTTTTCCCAAATATTTTTGATCTGTGGTTTGTTAAATCTGTAGATGTGGAAGCCGTGGATAAGAAGGGTCTTGCCTGTTCAGTTCTGTTTTGCAGGTAGGTGTTATGCATGCCACCCTGTGGTCACTCTTTTTTTTTTTTATTGTTTTTAAACTCAGCTGTATTTATTACCTCTTAGCAGAATGTGACCTGGGCACTCACTTCCACTCACGGGCCCTGTTCCGAATAATTTTTGAAATAGCTCTGCGGTATCCCTAGAGGTTGTCTCTCCCTTGAAACAGTCCTTTTCTTTGGAAAACAAGCCCGTGCAGCTCTTGGCGTCAAGTTTTCAGTATACTGTACTTCTAGAAGCTTATGACATGTGGATCTGAAACTACTGGGGAAAGTTTAATAAAAGATCCTATAAGAAAACTCAAGCTATCTTAACAAATATTCCTTTAAACATGAGGGAATCTCAACACTTCCGAGACACAAGATCTGGTCTACTACGCAATCTGGCTCGGCAGCTAAGCACTTCAGACCTCAGAGTTAACAGTTAAGTTACATCTTACCACAAACATCTCAACCTGTTAAAGTAAACCAAGGTGAAACTCGAGGAAGCACTGCTAGCTCTGCTTTAGTGCCTAAAATATCACAGTATTACTTAAAAGTAGAAAGAAATCTTATCTTCCCCTTAAAAGCAGTTATCATGCCACACAGACTGAACAAAAAAATCCTTGAAAATATATATTATCAGAGGGAATGAAGATTAAAGCACTGAGCATGAATTAGTGCTTCTCCGGGCCGAGATCAGTCGACTTCTTCCATGCGCGACGTGTCGTCATCTCCTTCGAGGGGAGGCATCTCCTCATTAACAGCAGCAGCGGTGTCATCAGCGGTGGGGTCGTCCTCATCAGTACCTAGACCCAGCTTGATCATCCTGTAAATCCTGTTCGCGTGGGTCTGCGGGTCTTCCCGGCTGAAGCCAGAGCACAGCAGTGCGGTTTCATACAGCAGGATGACCAGGTCCTTCACAGACTTGTCGTTCTTATCGGCCTCGGCCTTTTGCCTCAAGGTCTCAATAATCGAGTG